TAGAAGATTTTTTGTAAAGTGTTTTAACTGATATAAACGTTGTCGTATCAGTTCAAACAAATCTGTTAAAGAATCAAGAACGTATTAATGGATTAAAAGAAGTTTTAACGGATTAAAACTGCACTTTTAACAGATTAAAACAAACTTTTAACAGATTAATAAATGCAGCAGTTTTGAAAATCTTCTTTAAAAACAGAGTTGCTTGGAACTTTTTACACATAAGTTTTTACACATCCTTAAGCAATCATTCAAGCAAACTTAAGCACTCTTTTCAAGAATGATTCGCGTCAGTTTTTTAGAAGTTCTTTGAAAATCTTTCTTGAGGCAAATTGCTTTTCTTTGAAGAAGAAACTCACTGCAGAATAGCATAAACTGGTTTGAACTTTCTAGTTTCTTCTTTTTCAATTCTTTTTCATTCTTTTGTACTGTGTGGTGCCTGGAATTTGGGTACTAGTTTCTCTGCAGCTGGAATTTGGTTGCAGAGGTTATCAAGAACTGGAATTTGGTTCTTGGTGATAGGTTGAGTGCAGGAACTGTAATTTGGTTCTTGTGGTAGATTAAGTGTAAGATTGTATATCTGTAAAACATTTGATCTAGTGGAACCCAGCTGGAATTTGGCTGGAGACTGGACGTAGCCCTGGTATTGGGTGAACCAGTATAAAACACCGGTGATATCTTTCTTAACCTTTCTCTCCTTTAAATTCTGTTACTGCGCTTATTTTGATTGATTGCTTTGTAATTCAAGAACAGATACGTAAACTTATTTTTCGAATTAGATAATCTGTTATTTGCGAAAAACTTTCAAAGATCAATTCACCCCCCTCTTGATCTAAAACTACTTTTCTAACACCTGTGATCATATATAATGATCTTCTCCTTAATCAAGAAGGAAGGTTGTTGAAGGTGTTGAAAGAGAGCAAGAAAACATTCAGTTGGTCCTTAGATGTCTTAACTAGGATCAACCCTACTATTTGCATGCACAAAATCTTGTTGGAAGATGATTGTAGACTTGTGAGGCAACTCAACAAAGGATGAATCCTATCATCCTTAATGAGATGAAAAAGGAGGTGACCAAGCTATCGAAGGTTAACATCATATATCCCATCTCAGATAACACTTGGGTATCTACTGTCCAAGTTGTTCCAAAAAAGAGTGGGATAACTGTTGTGCAGAAGGATCACTTTTCCTTTTCATTCATAAATCAAACTGTTAAGAGATTGACAGGTTTTTACCGGATAATCATTCGAGACTTCACACAAGGTGACATTTCCTCTTTCCAACTTCCTGTAGAAGAACACTTTAATTGTTTAAGTTGAACCGAGTTGTTACTTGATGGTCTCGACACCTGTACCATATGAGGAGATAGACCCAGGACCTAAGCTGTTTTAGTTATTTCATTTGCATTTTTATTTATATTTGCATAACAGAAATTCTCCATATATAAGGACAATGTTGATTTCAAAAGTGGGGAGTATTTGCATTTCATGGATAAGGTTTCATTCATATCTTATGTTTTTATTATTCTATAATGTTGTAGATTGATGGGAGACTACTTTGGAAAATATGACCGACTTGATCAGGAGGAAGGGTTTAAAGTTTAAAAAATGTTTGATTCACATAGAAAGTCATGGTCGGGTTACATTAACATTGGTTTGGATTAATTTTAGGATGAACAAAGCACACAAGTGAGTTTTGAACCTTATTCCTTCTTGTATACGCCACTTATGACATGAGAACCTTTTAAAACTTGATTGATTTCTCTGTGATACCAGACGAGCTTATACACCAGTAGAAATTATTTAGCTCTTATTTGTCTTAGCTACTTGGTCAAATAGCTTACCCTTACCTCAAATTACCCTTTGAACCCACCTTTGAGCCTTAACCTTTTCTTAGATTTAAATATGAAAATTAAAGTCTTTCCAACCCAAAACCGAGAATTAAAGCCTTAGCCTTAGTCTTTCTAGTGGCAAAATTTAGTGGAGCTTAACATAGCTTGACCCGTAGCTTTTAATAGCCAAATGAGTTTTCTATGAACTCTACAAAAGGAAAAACATAAACATAAACCACATGTTTTACACAAACACACAACACACTAACAAACTCATAATTACTATCTTTACCATTAAACTAAGACATTTTGTCCTTGGTTTACAAGATTGAAAGTTAATCTTTACTATTGATAGAACAATTAAGAATTGTTATGTTCAACTTGTTCTTAGCATATAATAAGTGCTTATTTTAGGATTTAAATATGACCATAGTAGTCCAATACAGTGGAAAGTGAGGAGAATTATTCAAGTAATAAGACAAAAATTTAGTGGGATCCTATATGCTACTTTAACTCAAAAACACTAGGTTTTGATGTTTTTAAAAGATCGGGTATAAATTGAGAATAAACCACCATGTTGGGACCCATTCGAATAAATCTAACAAATATTTGCATCATACTTCATTTGATAGAAGTATTTATAAAGGGATTTAGACGCAAAAAATGCCTTAAAAAAATCTAACATTTAAGGTGAAGTTGGCCCGGAGCTACTATAAGTATAAATAATATGTGGTACTCAAACTCAGGAAAAGGCAAAAGAATCTCTAATTCTTTAAATAATATTCATACACAAAAATAAAGTTGTCCCTATCAATAGTCAATTTCATAACTTTATCAAAAGTAAAACATGAATAAACAATTATCAACCCAGTAGAACTTGACTCACATACACCAAAATCTCGACAAAAGCTTTCTATGAAAGATATTGAAGTAAACTCGAACCTATACTAATGAACCTCATTAAGTACCCAATAGTACTTGGGATAAAAAACATTATGGAATCTATCTTTATGCTCATGCCTACTTCCCCCTACATCATGTTTTTGGGCCTTAAAGACCTTTTGGATTTAACCAACCCTGTGCTTCCAAGAAGCAGGAGTAACATTTATGATGAGAGCAACAATAGAAACAACCTCAACTTCCTTAGAAGAAGAAGGAGCAACAAATTTCATGCTCTTCAAATAGAAGGAGTCATCTTCCATCAAACAAACATTCCTTATAATAAAGAGAGTGATATTCTCTAAAGAATGAGTTAGGAGAGATAACATTGTTAAAAAATATAAGAACAAAAACAAGGACAAAGTACCTTATAAAGGAACACTACACTAGCTCAACATGGTGAGAAACAAACCAATATAGATTAAGGAGGATAAAACGATAATGACAAGAATGAATGAAAGTAATAAGTAAGATGCATGCAAAAAAGTAGATAACAAAAAAAGAAACAACGAGAAAGATAAAAGAAAAAGTATATAAACAAGGTCATTTGAATTCAATGATTCAAATTTCAAGATATATGTATTAAATAATAATAATAATAATAATAATAATAATAAAACATCTTAAAATTAAATTAATTATACTCTTTCACTCGTATAATCTACTTACATGATACTAAATTTTTAAATTTAGGAGACTCAATATTTATTCGAGTCTCCCAAAATATAATATAATAGAGATAAAATATTTTATTGTAAATACTCAGTTAACATCTTATAAAATAAATATGTTAAGAAATTTTGTTTCACAACCCAAACTCCTCTTATACAATCATGTATATTAATAAATAATGATATTATTATTATATTAATTTAATCGGTGATTTTTTAATCCATATCTTATATTCATTCAAAATCACTTGTTGATTTTAATATAATTCAGGTTTTACTTGAGAATGATACATAATAAAATTCTATCTACCTTAAAAAACAAATTATTGATATGATTATTCAATTTCATTTATAATTTTAACTTTAGAACATACAATACAAAATATTAAATTTATATATATATATATATATATATATATATATATATATATATATATATATATCCTATATTTAACCCGAAATTAAAGAGCTGCGGTAATAGCGGTCGCTCAACTCGCACGCTGTTTTTCTTCAGTGACCTCCACCCGACAACTTCCTCTCCCTTTCTCTATTAATTTTGTTTTTTTCTCATCCTTCTTCGCTTCTCGAGTGTATGACAAATCTCCCCTACATTTTGGACCAAGAAAAAACTAAATTCCAACTTCCCTACTTATTTTATTTTATTCATATTATTATTATTATTATTATTATTATTATTATTATTATTATTATTTATTTTTTTATCCACAAATTTCCAATTTTATAGTTTTTAAACCATTATTATTATAATTTTAATTTTCCTTCCTTCTGAATCTACCTTCCTTTCTCTATTCCCGTTTAACCCACGCGTCCAACCTCGCAATTTCAATTTTCTGTTCCAACAGAAGGGGGAATTGATTGATTGTCTCTCGGGTAATCAATAAACTTTTTCAAGCTTTCGCGCTTCCCAATGGACCCTCCACACACATTGTATTTTGAGTTTTAATTTTAATTTTATTTTATTTTATTTTTGGCAATGGTTTAGTTGGATCGGTCTTGCGGGTTCAATTTTCTTGCAAACATAGCAGATCTGGGTTCTTCAAGGTTAGCAGCTGTTTTTTTTTTGTTTTCATTTCTCTTTCATTGTTTTGTTGGTTTGTTTTGTCTTAATGAAATGCTGAAAGAGCAGAAGATTAAAGGAGTTACATTGTGTTGTTTATTCCCTCAATTGGTTTGTAAAAAAATTATTTTTTTCAGTGCACAAAATTTACTCTTACTTTTTATGGATTGAAGTTGAATACATTTCATGTATTTCGTGTTATACCTATATTCCCTACATCCGTGTATAAGCTTCGATAAATTTACACAGATCTCCGAAGTATTAGTAGTTAATAGTATTGTTTAAGGTGTGAATTTTTATTTGATGGTTTGATTTTTGTGATTGGTGGTGACACAGGAGTATTGTTGTCCTGGCACTTGGTGTGTAGAAGAGAGGCCGTTTTCTTTGTGTGCAGAGTTTGAGGACTTAAATCTGATAGACAGAGTCCTTGGAATTGTTACTGCTACATGTGGTGTCTCCTTCGTGGTGCCACATCATTTTATTCATGGGGGAGTGGATTGTTGGAGCTTTCATCAACCTCTTTGGAAGTATTGCAATAAACTTTGGGACCAATCTTCTCAAATTAGGGCACAATGAGGTATGACCAAAGTTTTTTCTGGTTGGATCCGTTTGTGAAGTACTTTTATCAGTTTTATAGACATGTTTCTCTCTATTTTGTAATGACTAATGAGGTACACAAATTGGCTTTACTGTTTCCTTTTCAGATTTCAGTTCATTTGATAAATATTTACTGAAGTAATGGATTCATGCATCTTCTTTGTACTCATCCGTATCTTCTTACGTAATTTCTTTGGATATTGTCTGAAATTTTTGTGTTAAGGACTTCCGTTATTATAGTGAAGCATCGAAACTTTTAGATTATTCCATCTGATTCTGAGTTTAAGAATTGTTTAGTTTTGTGACAGATTACATCTTTGAGTGTCAATATTACTCTGCAGTCTGTACTACTATTTCTTGAGATTTGTACTATCAAATTATTTGGGAAACCTGAATTTTATTTTTCTTTTGCAGAGAGAAAGACATTTACATGGAAATGATGGGGTAAATGGAAAGATGACTCTGAAGCCTATTATATATTTCCAGAGTTGGAGAATTGGTATATTATTGCTTTCATATATGGGTTTTGCACCTTTTATCTGGTGGCTGATTCCTGATTTTTGCTTTCATTGCATAATTCTTGATATACAGGTATCATATTTTTCTTTCTTGGAAATTGCCTTAATTTCATTTCCTTTGGATATGCTGCTCAGGTATGTTTCCCATAACTTTATTGGTATTCTTTGTTCAACATCATATGGTGTAATTTTATGATAGTATGTAGCAGTCTTCTATAATTTTTTTGTTTGGTTGGATCTAGTAAAATTTGCAATTTCTTGTGCTTGATTTGATGTATGTATTTCGATTCATTCTGATTACTTATTCGCCTGTGTGATGTGCAGTCACTTCTTGCCGCATTGGGATCTGTTCAGTTTGTATCTAACATTGCCTTTGCTTACTTTGTCTTGAACAAAATGGTGACAGTGAAGTATGCTAAATTTGAACCGAGACTACTGTTTAATTTTTCCTTTTTCACCAACTCTGTTTTAGTGATGTGAATTCTCGTGTGGCTTATCAGGGTACTGGTTGCTACAGCTTTCATTGTTCTTGGAAACGTTTTTCTAGTAGCTTTTGGCAATCACCAATCGCCTGGTATGTAACATTTTTCCTAGTTCAATTAAAAACTTTTGCTTCTAGGTTTACATGTGAAAACAATTGTTAAGGTTTCAACATAAAACCAATTGACAATATGTAGAGTAACCTAACATGTATTTAAACCATACCAAATGACATGAGGTAGGCGATGTGGGACTTCCAACACGCCCTCTCCAACGAAGCCTGCCAGACCAGGCAAATGATATTTTTGACCCAACGAAAGGACAACTTTTGGCCCAAGACAATAACTGGAAAGATGTTAGGCTTTGGCTCTGATATCATGTTAAGGTTTCAACATAAAACTAATTGGCAATATGTGGAGTAGCCTAACATGTATTTAAATCATACCAAATGACATGAGGTAGACGATGTAGGACTTCCAACAACAATGTTAACTCATCCGAAGCTGATAGTTAGATGTGCATAGTATTATATGCAATGCAATAAGTAAATTGCTAGTTTGACAAACAACAATAGGCATTTTGTATGCTTCAAAATGTAACAAGCATTTTATACTAGGCTTTTGTATTAGACAACTTAATATGATTTTTAGTTTAATATGTTCTCCTATGTTCGCTGAATTTTATGATTCATTGCTATTAAACTGTCCAATCATATGATATTTTTTTTTTGTTAAAGATATGATTTGATTAAATTGAATAGGGTAATGTTTTATGATTTTATTATATTAAATAGGGAAATATTTTACCAAATATTTCTCATTATTAATTATTATGATTTTATTTCTTATTATTGTATTTCTTTTTTATTATAAATAAGAATTATCATGTCTATACACTACACACAATTACAAATGCTTTCAATGTGGTATCAAAGTGGTACCATCATCCGGAACCTGTTTTGTCACTAATCCACTGTTAGGCCATGACTTTTTCCCTAAACGCATTGGCTCTGACGTAGTCTGACTTTCTCTCTTGGGTAAACAAAATCCACTGCAGCAATTTAGCTCTTATAGCAGCTGCTGCATCCACTAAGCATATTTGCTCTGCGGAAGCTGCTATGCACTCTAAGCTTTTTTGCTCTGTCAATAGCTGCGCACTCTAAGCATTTTGCTCTTTGGTAGTCTATGCATTCCTTGAGCATTATTTTTTCTCCTTGACAGCCATGACACTCTCTGAGAACTTTGCTCTTTGGCAGTCATTGCACTCTTTTAGCATTATTTTTGCTCTTGAACAACCACAACACTCACTAAGAACTGTTGCTCTTCAGTAGTTGCTAGGCTCTTCAATGACCTTGCTATTTGAGCAATTTTTGCTCTCAAGTAGTCATGTGTCCTCCAAAAATTTTGCTCTTCAAGAACCATTGAGCCTTTTGACCATTTTTGCTCTTTGATAGTTCTTGTGCTCTCAAAGTAGTTTTCACTCTCCAACAACCATGCTACACTTTGAGCATTGTTTTGCTTTTTGGTAGCCATTGCATACTTTGACCTCTAATGTGACCCTTTGATCCAAGCTATCCTTTTATAGCAATCACTATACGGTCTCACTCATGACCAATTGTCACCGTGTGCCATTAACTCCTTCGCATGTCATCTTCATACACCTACACCAAATCGATGTGTGGAGCTTTTCATTAATTACTTTGTTAGGTTCAACAACCAATTGATTTACATGTTTACTAAGTCTCTCAAAGGGTCTTGTGTTGATGAATATGATGCACAAATATGATATGAGTATTGGATACGTGCAGTATTGTATATGACACTTATCGATACAATGATTTGTTTCATCTTGAAAAATATAAGATATGATACATTCCGAATATATGTGTGTATATATGAATAATTCACAAAAATAAAATAAATGCTATTATATGTCATCACTAGTGGTCATAAAATTAATTATAGGTCTTCCTTTAGAATCTGTCCATCCATCAAAGACTATGCCTCTATCATCTTTTGTTCTAATTTGATTTAAGTAAGCACTCAACATGTATTTTCTCTTGTTGAAGGAAACCTTGTAGCAAATAATTATGAATTCACATAGTAGGGAAATATGGTATAATTTGATTACATCAAATAGGGAAATATCTTAGCAAACATTTTTCATTATAAGTAAGAACACTCATTTGTGTACACTACATACACTTCACACAATTACAAGTAATCCTTTCCATAGATTTCAATGTTGCAAACTAATTTGTGGTTAACTACTTGCTTTTCAGTTTATACGCCAGAGCAGTTGACGGAAAAATATACCAATATTGCATTCCTTCTATACCTTCTAGCTTTGATCTCAATTGTTGTCTTGCATCACTCCATCTACAAGTAATTTGTAGGGTTTAAATATTTGTCGCTAGTTTAATCAAACAATTGTTCTTCTTTACAATTAACATGTGGAATATGCAGGAGAGGAGAACTTCTGCTTGCAGTATCAGGAAATGACCTAAGACCCTATTGGAGCATGCTACTGCCCTTCTCATATGCCATAGTTTCAGGTGCAGTAGGTTCATGCTCGGTGTTGTTTGCTAAATCGCTGTAAGTGAGCTACTCCAACATGTTGACGTTCTTCATGACATAATAGCCATGTAATTTGTACCAAATATCAACTTTTTTGCAGTTCTAACCTATTACGGCTGGCTATGTCCAATGGTTATCAGTTGCACAGCTGGTTCACATATTCCATGCTTCTTTTATTTCTTAGTACTGCTGGATTTTGGGTAAGACTTTTCCTGGGTAGTTATTTTTTGTTTGGCTTTTTGATTTTTTGAAGTTAAGTGATGACAAGTGTGAATGCCAACCCAAACTTTTTTAATTGTGCAGATGACCAGGTTGAATGAAGGGCTGTCATTGTTTGATGCAATTCTTATTGTTCCCATGTTTCAGATAGCATGGACTTTCTTCTCAATCTGTACAGGATTTATATATTTTCAGGAATATCAGGTACTTTCTCTTTCACATGAAACGCACAGGTAACCTTTGCTTTGCACAGGCACCTAGAAGTTTTAATCATATTATTGAAGATTAATAATTAAATATCAACTCCTACTTTGATCGAATGGAATCACTTGAGTATATATTTCAGAAAATCAAATCTGTTACATCGTTTAGAAAACATCATCGGTTCAGCAATCAACATACAAAACCAGTCCTAGCCTAGATAATGTAAGCGAAACTCGGATAATTAACTTAATCTTGCTTCTATGTTCATTTCTAACTGCTTGTTAGTTTCATTCTCCATTCACATATATTAACTGGTTTTTCTGCAAGGTCACCTAATGAAATTTGCCATTCAGGTTATAAAAATTTCTCTTTCCCTCTCTCTCTCTCTCTCTCTCTCTTTCTCTATCTCTATCTCTCTCTTCCATATAGAAGAAATTAATCTTCCTCGTTGAGCATAGAGCCATGGGTCATAGCTTACTGCAGAGGAACAATGTGAACTTCCAAGTTCTAAAAATTATTGCAGAGAATGCATGCAAATCTAAACAAATTAAAGAAAACAGAAACTAATGAGGGGGATATCACAGGTAGTTAAAATGGAGATTTTACTTTGGGAGAGAGTTTAGATCACAACTTATGGGATATTAACACTGATTGCAAGATCCTACAAAATTCATAAACTCATACACAGATAATAACATCAATAAGCAAAGAGGACATTTCAGTTCAGTTCAGCAGCTTCAAATCAGAAATGCTGAACCAAAGATGGCAGCTGGGTTTTCCCTAAACCCAGGATCTAGACTCTTGAAGAGAATAGGAGAACAGATAACCGTACCACCCAGCAAACTCAGCAAACAAAGGTGCAGAGGAGAACAACCATGGAAGAGATGAAGACAAATGGAGGAGAGATTTAGAATGGCTGAAAATGGGGGTAAAATTTGGCAATAATGGGGTTTAGCACCTGGATATTTTGGGTTGCAAAACTGGTTGAAGATAAAAAGCCTGAATGGACTATTTCCGGTGGTGTGGTTGCAAGATCTCAGCAATCCTGTGAGCTTGTACTGTGATGTCATCCAATCTCACCAAGTTCCAACCGAGATCCAGATCTCTCACGGCAGTGAAAAGTATAAAATCAGCACAACCTTATGCAAAATACAAATTATAAATAAAAATACAAAATCATACAAGCTTAGCACCATGGGTACGTTAGGGATAAACTTTGGGTAACCAACATGATTAAATGCTAATTGAAAAAAATATTTATCAACTTGTTTGGATAAACTTCTATATAAACATTCATAGTAAAAGAAAATTCAAAGAAAAAACAAAAAAAGTTTCTTTATAAGCTATTTAATATAGAAGAAATAAAGTTTGAGATTAATCTTCCTTGTGTATAAATCACACATAGGGTAATCTATTTATAATAGAGAGATACAACTAAAAGAGTAACTGAAAGTAACAGAATAAACAGAAGATATTGTTTGATATTGTGGTTAACAATATCTAACAATATCTTAACAATATCAAATAATATCTAAACAATATCTAACACTCCCCCTCAAGCTAGAACATACAAATCGTATGTGCCAAGCTTGTTACAAATATAATCAATTCTAGGCTCTCGTAAAGATTTAGTAAAAATATCTGCTAACTGATCACTTGAGTTAACAAACTCAGTCTTGATGTCTTCAAATATAATCTTTTCTCTAATGAAATGACAGTCAATCTCAATGTGTTTGGTCCTCTTATGAAAGACAGGATTAGAGCTAATATGAAGAACAGTCTGATTGTCACACACAAGTGACATTTGAGTGACATCTCCAAATTGTAACTCTCTAAGCAATTGCTTGAGCCAAACAAGTTCACAGGTAGCTGAGGCCATAACTCTATATTCTGCTTCTGCACTAGATCTTGCCACAACACTCTGTTTTTTACTTTTCCATGAGACCAAGTTATCACCAATAGAGACACAATATCCAGATGTAGATCTTCTATCCGAAGGAGATCCTGTCCAATCAGCATCTGAGTAGCAAACAACTCTTGTATGGTTATTAGAACCATATACCATTCTTTTTCCAGGAGATCCTTTAATATATTTCAAGATACGAATGACTGCATTCCAATGATCTTCATATGGGGAATTAAGAAATTGGCTTACCACACTGACTGCAAAGGAAATGTCAGGACGAGTAACTGTAAGATAATTCAATTTTCCCACCAATCTTCTATACTGCTCATGATCAGGTATAAGCTCCCCCTGATTTGGTAGAAGTTTAGTATTGGGATCCATGAGTGTATCAACAGACTTTGAACTCATCAACCCAGTTTCCTCCAAAATACCCATGACATACTTCCTTTGAGATATAACAATATCATCATTGGACTGTGCCACCTCAATACCCAAGAAATATCTAAGTTTGTCAAGATCTTTGGTCTGAAAATGGTGACAGAGATGTTGTTTCAACTGAAAGATGCCATGGTTGTCACTACCTGTAAGAACGATGTCATCAACATATACTATCAAGTAAACACATCCAGCACTCGAGTGTCGATAAAAGACAAAGTGATCAGCTTCACACCAAGTCATACCAAATTGTTGAACAACCTTGCTAAACTTTCCAAACTAGGTCCTAGGAGACTGTTTTAGGCCATATAGGGATTTACGAAGACGACATACCATCCCAGAAGACTCCCCTGAGCAACAAACCCAGGAGGTTGCTCCATATAGATTTCTTTTTGCAAATCACCATTGAGGAAAACATTTTTAACATCTAGTTGATAAAGAGACCATTGTTGAAGAGCGGCCATGGCGATAAATAAACGAACAAAAGTCATCTTTGCCACGGGGGAAAAGGTATCTCCATAATCAACCCAAAAATTTGAGTATAATCTTTGGCCACAAGACGAGCTTTGAGACGATCAATAGTACCATCAGGCCAACTTTGATAGCAAACACCCACCTGCAACCAACAACAGATTTCCCAGACGGTAACAAGACCAATTCCCAAGTTTCACTATTATGAAGAACACTTAGTTCATCTAACATGGCCTGACGCCAACCAGGATGGGCTAAAGCTTCACGGACAATTTTTCGAATGGTCACGGAAGAAAGAGAGAAAAGACATGTATAAAAAGGTAATGACAGTTGATGATAACTCAAACCAATATAATGGGGAGAGGGATTACGTGTAGAACAGATACCTTTTCGGAGGGCAATGTGAAGGTAAGACTCAGGTGTCACATCCGAAGGAAACAGAGTAGTTGGCACTTGAGTGGAGTCACATGGTGGTGGTTGCGATTGGTTTCAGCAACTATAAACCGGAAGAGGCGGTGAAGAAGAAGCTGACTGGGGAGCAGAAACTAATGGTGAAGAGTTAGAGGGTCACAAACAACAGGAACATTAAATGTATTAGGAGTGTTGACAAAATTGGATGGAGATAGAGGTGAAGATTGACTTTTAAAATAAAAAGAGAACTCATCAAAGGTGACATTTGAAGAACAAAATAACGGTTAAGAGAAGGAGAAAAACATTTGTATCCTTTTTGTGATCTTGTAAACCCTAAGAAAACACATTTATGTGATCTAGGAGAAAGCTTGTCAAGACCAGAACTAAAATTGTGAACAAAACATGTAGACCCAAAAACTCTTAGAGGTAAGGGATGAAGTGGTTCATGAAGGAATAAAATGAAATGAGGTATTTTATTATCTTAAACTGAATAAGATATGTGATTAACGAGATAACATGCAGTAAGAAGAGTATCACCCCAAAAATGCTGAGGAACCTCTCCATGAATTAAAAGAGTGCGAGTTGTTTCAGTAAGATGTCTATTTTTACGTTCAGCTACACCATTTTGTTGAGTTGTATAAGTACAAGAAGGGTCGGGGGAAGGAGGCAATAACTCATTGAACTCATAAAAAAGAGCATGAATTTTGTCCATATAATCAGTCATAGAATCTTGATGTTTAGAGGCAATAACATCTACAAATTTAGAACAGACATCATAGAGACGTTGAGTATCATTGGTGTATAATAACTTAGCATGTTCCCAGATTTTGGCACATGTTTCGTAGGAATGAAAAATTTGTTTTAACAAAGGATCAAAAGTACCGTTGAGAACCACACATAATTGAGCATCAATAGTGTCCCAACGGTCTTCATCACCAGGAATGAGAGTAGGTGCTTTCGGGGCAAAATGATCAAGATACTTCTAACTCTTAAGCCATAATATGATGTCTGATGACCATGTGACATAATTAGGGTCAGTTAACTTGTCAACGGATAAGTGCACATTAACATAATTAGTGTAGATGGAAAGATCAGACGCAGTACTGACAGAATTGGAAGTACTAGAAGGAGCGGAAGAAGTCATAAAAGGCGGAGGCGGCAGTGACAACGGTGTGAACCAGTACACCAGGTAAGTTCCCAGGAAAGAGAGGTGGGTCACTAATGGACACGCTTAAATATCAAGTCTTTCCTTGTCAGAACCTTCCTAGACATGCACTTTCACACTACCAAATAATATCTAATAACAAAAATAACTCTTTTCTGATGTGGAAGATCAGTTTAACCAGCAGCAGCGGCGGTTGCTCCAACAGTGGTCAAAGGCGAAAAAATTTCAAAATAACCTTAAGTTCTAGATATCATGTTGAATATAGAAGAAATAGAGTTTGAGATTAATCTCTCTTGTGTATAAATCACACATAGAGTAATCTATTTATAATAAAGAGATACAACTAAATGAGTAACTGAAAGTAACAGAATAAACAGAAGATATTGTTTGATATTGTGGTTAACAATATTTTAACAATATCAAATAATATTTAAACAATATCTAACATAGGCTAAAATTAACTAATGCACAAGTTAAAATTCAGTGTTGTTTGGTTTGAATTATTATTCCCTTGGTTTTAACTAGGGCACACCCGATTTTAAACACTTACAAGTTTTATTCAATATTTTGAAACCAGTTGCTTTTAGTTTTTTTCAATTGAATAGAGGTAAAAATTGTGAAGAATATAAATACGACTATTAACTTGAAAAAATTTCTATCAGATGGTGAGATATGCAGCTGATAACTGCTGCTTGTCTCCTTTTATTTATCTGATCTTTGGTCTATAGTAGTAGACAGTCACCTGGTACCTTCTAGAATCTAGAAGTAAATGTTTCACAAACTTTGACGCTTGTATCACTAGTATTATTTATTTTTGTTTTGTATGGGGAGTGCTTTTATCATTATTTTGATCAATGCTGAATGTTCTTACATAATGAATTTAGATGTAATGTAAAACTTACCTTATTGAAAGCAGGTATTTGATGCATTAAGGACAACAATGTTTATACTCGGAATGATGTGTGTATTTATTGGCATTTCTTTACTGGCTCCAGATGAATCAAAAGGTAATATAATTGTAGTTATTTTATGGTTTTATATAATGCAAAGTATGCAGAGGATATTATGTAACTTTGTTTTGAGAAGTTTCAGGTCCTGAGACGAAAGATGGTTCTTTGGATTCCATGGTGTCCTCTGCCACTTCAACAGAAGTGAACAGGTACAGTACGATCCCTTTGTATGACTTATATAAAGTGAAGAACTTGTAGCCCCATAGGTTGCTATATTTGTCAAACATCACTGAAGGGAAGCAAAATGATTGATGTAGTACTACTAGTTAATTGTATCATCTAACACTGATTGTGTAGGTTTGTTTCAACTTAACGATACCCCACATAACAAATTACTGCCTCCGTTCTTATATAAGAAAAAAAAATTTAGAAAATTACTTGGTGCTTTAAATTTTACTAATCTCTTAATATTCCTCCTAAAATATCCATTTTGTAAGATAGAAAATTCATGCTATATTGGTGTAATCAAATGTCACATTAATTGAAGTTAGTTTTGTTTGGGGAAGTATCAATAAATGAAGTAAAAGTAGTTAAAATCTGCTTATATTTGAGGAAAAAGAAGTGATTGTTTTTTTTTTTTTTGTTCATAAATGAGAGCGGAGGTATTATCTGTTAAGAAGATTATAATATATTCATTTAACTTATCATGGACCTTCTAAAACAGCCAAAGGTCTCTTTAAACTTGTTGATAGAATTATATACGACTATAATTCCCTGTTTTTTTGTGCTTTATTTCTTCACGACTGTCAGACACGCTTGTTAATGCTGGTAAACTATCACTGCATATTTTTTGTATATTATAGGCTGGTAGTGTCTACTGAAGAAGCACAGAATAAAGATCCAAGATCATTTGTCAAAGCAGTGGTAATAAAAATTACAGATTTGTTGGTCAAGGCAAAGGTATTGTTTGTTACTGTTGCATTAACATTCATTGCGAATGGTGCCACTTGTTATGATGATAAGTGAATTTTGAAGCTTCTTGATATCTCTTTGCAGACTTCTTGTGCATTATCTCTTGGTTTTGGGGAGGATACCATCAATGCTTCATCGGTTCTTGTGATGCCAATGATGTCATCAAGAATGACTGGATTTAGAGGTAACGGGCTTGAGCGAGCAAGAATTTTGTCCATGCGAAATTCTGGTTGGAGCAAGATCCCAATGGATGATGGGAAATTGCTTGATGATAGTTCGGTTGTTCCTCCTAGCCCTTAACGATGGTTGATAGTTAAAGGGATGTCCCACGGTATCATTTTTTTCCCTTGATAACCCTTTTTTTAATGATTGGAATAGCTATGATACAAAACCATCATAATTCAATTTATTTGCTTTGTTAGCAGTCATGTAATAGAAAAAAAAAAGGATAAAAAATTGTTGTATATTGTATATACACATTGTAAATTTTTGCTTGCATAATTGAAATTTAAAAGAAAAAAAAAAAATCTGTTTTAAGTTTTATGCTTGGTAGATGCTTTTGCCAGACAGTTTTGCTATTCAGTTCCAATGTATTAGTGAGGTTACAAAATTGTAAATTGAGATTCTTGAGATATTTAGGTACTAAACATGTATTCTTCATATATGTCCAAGTTTTTTTTTTTTTTTTGTTTTATACATCAAGGAATTGTTTGTTTAGTGCTTTTTAAAAATAATTATTAATTTTTTTAATTTAAAAATTAAAAAACAGTTTTCAAATTAGAATTATTAAACAATTTTTTTTAACTTGTTCTTAAAACTAGTTTTTGAATTTTTTTTGAAACTATTTTTAAAATTAAAAACAATTAAATCAATCAATATCTCAAGTCTTTGTTTGAACGAAGAAAAGAATTTGAAAAAGTGAAAAAAAAATAGAGGGAAAAATTTAGTTATTTGGATTAGACGAAGAAGTGAGGAAAATAAGAAGAATGAATCAAAAGTTTGTAATTGATTTTGGTTGTTGTGGAAAAATAAAATAAATATATTAATTATCTGATTTAATAAATTACCAAAATATTCTTATATTATTTTTAACATATTTATTTAATATTTTATCTAAATTATCAATACAGATAAAATTTAATTTAATAAGGAAAAAATGAATTTAAAATGAAATATGGTTAAATGTTATAAAAAATTTACCATTTTAAAATTTTGATTACATATTTACAAAATTATTAAAAAGCAACAATTTTAGCCATAAAATTTCAATTTCATGGTTAATATGCCATGATAAATATTTATCTTAGTGTGTAGTTTTTAAAATTGGTCTTCTCAAAATAAGAGGAGAGTTAAGATCTAAGTTATTAGAAAATTTACCTCTCATATCTAGTTTATAAAAATTTGTTAGTAAGACAATGTTGTTCAATTTCACTAAGACATCCTCAAGTAATCTTGGTTAAATTGAGCTCCTATTTGCAAGTTGAATCACCATATTAGTAGGTTGCATAGATTCTAAGCAATGAAGAATACATGATTAAATGCATAACATTAATGTGGAGGCTCTTAAATCTAACATTGCATGTTCAAATCTCTTATTCCTTGTGAAATAGTTAAAACACTTGGATAATTAACTCATTGGTGCATTGACCAAAGTAGAAATATTTCTTCCTCAATTAATCTTTTCACTACTCTTGAGCCTTCTTTTACTAGGCACAAATCTTTTAGAAATTTGGCATATTTAAACACTTGTTTTATGGCTTCAAGTAGGGGAATGTTAACTTCAATTTTCTCAAATAATTGTACTAGCTCATTGTTAAGCTCCTTATTCTTCTTCACCTTGAATTTTCCTTTGGAAAGAGGGAATGGAACATGAATTGCATGATTACCAACATCAGTACTGGTTGAAACTGTAGTGACTGTGTTTTTTACATTTGAAGCTATCACTTTTCTACTATGCTCTTCTACTTTCTTTTCCTTAATGATAACACGACTTTCAACGTCAGGTCCTCCATTTACATCTCATGTTGGACGGTTTCCAGCCACTAACCTAACATCAGTATTGGCATAAGCTTTTGTTACACTTCTAGACCTGCATAATTTGGTTCAATTTTATTCTGTTCTTTCTCACTTTTTTTTGTAACATGACCGATAACTTTTTCCACTTGCTCTTATGGTGAGGCTTCATTAATCATAGGTCCAACTAACACCTTCCCAATTCTCAAAGTCATAATACTCACATTTTTAGGATTAACATCAGTTTGGGAGGGCAAACCATCTGGAAACCTTGACTGTTGTTGGTTCATGGCTGTGACAAGATGTTCAACTTGATTCTTGAGAAATTTGATACTTGCCTCAGTCGTTTGTTAATTCCTCCAAAGAAGGTTGACTTTTACTACTGGAGGATTAAGCTCGTTGAACTTGCCCAAATTGCTGGAATTTTTTTTGGTTTTATTGTTTATATGGCTGATGGAATGGTGGAGGAATATTTTGTGGTGGATAATATAAATGTTGGGATGGAGGTGGATAATTATGCTGCTTAGGAAAATAATTAAGCTATTACACATGTATATTTTGTTGTTGCATAGGTGGTGACTGCATAACATTAGCTTGATTTCCTCATTTAAGGTTGAGATGATTTCTCTAAGAAGGATTATATTTGTTTGAGCTCAAATCAACAATAGAACTAGGGGAAAATTCATGGAAAACAACACACACATGGGGATCATTATTAGGCATGCTAGATTAGGGATGTCAATTAAACCCGTACCCGTGGGGATCGACCCGTCCCCGCCCCGAGTTTGACGGGGAAAACCCGAGTTGACCGGGGGCGGGGTCGAGTTCGGGTTTTCCCCGCTTTAAAAAGTCGGGGGCGGGGATGGGTAATGCAATCCCCACCCCGACCCCGCCCCGTCCCCGTCCCGACTTTATATTTAAATTTTAAAATATTTTATATTTTAAAAGTATTTCATTTTCTTTTTCTATTACATATAAGGTTATTTTTTTATATTTCACCAATTTTTATTTTTCTTCTACCCACTTTTTAATTTATTTTATCTTTTTCAATCTTTTATATAAATTAATTTATTATATTATTCTCTCCCTTATCTTTCAGCTTTTTCACATTTTCTTAGTCTCTCCCATCAATTTGTTTTTTTTTTCAATCTTTTCAACCAATTTGATGAACACAAAGTTAATCATTTTTCTTTATCTTTTTCTAAATATTTTACATCAATCTTAGTAGTAACTAATATTAGTTTATTTATAATTTATATTTATTATGTCATATTTTTTTTATCTTATTATGCTTATTTATCATATATCAAATTTTATCTTAATAAAATAATTTCATTTTAAAGGATTAAAAGAAATTAATAATTTTAACTTTTATTACTTCAAACTAATTAAATAAGAATTAACTTATTAAATATTTTCTTATAAATTATATATTGACAACTTAAAAATGAATTAACTTATATGTATAATTAAATATTTGAATACAAGTATTATAATAATAATGTTATAAATATTCAAATATTTGAATACAGATGTTATAATAATAATAATAATAATGTTATAAATATTATATATATATATAAATAAAAAATAATTAAATATTTCTTTTACATATATATTTTAATATAAATATAATAAATTAAAATGTATATTTAATTAATAATCACTATAAATTATAAATATTTATTTATATATAAAAATACATAGTAAAATTAATTTATTATAAATATAATTATCTTTTTAAAAATAATATAAATCGGGGACTGGACGGAGCTGGGCGGGAACCCGAAACCCAGCGGGGACGGGGATGTGGACTTAATTCCTAACCCCGACGGGGATCGGGGGTGGGGACGGGGATGGTTAAAAAGTCGGGGCGGGACTGGGAGGCAAAACCCGCCCGCCGCCCTGCCCCGTTGCCATGCCTACTAGATAGTGGTGAACAATCATATGTAGCATGTAGGGATGATAATTAAACCCGTAGCCGTGGGGACCGACTCGTCCCCGCCCGAGTTTGATGAGAAAAAACCGAGTTGATCGGGAACGGGGGTGGGATCGGGTTTTCCCGCTTTAAAAAATCGGGGACGGGGCGGGAATGGGTAATGCAATCCCCATCTTGTCCCCGTTTCCGTCTCCGCCCCGACTTTATATTTTAATTTTAATTTTAAAATATTAATATTTTAAAAATATTTCCTTTTCTTTTTCTATTACATATAAGATAATTTTTTTATATTTCACCATTTTAACTTTTTTTTACCCATTTTTTAATTCTTTTACCTTTTTTAATCTTTTATATCAATTAGTTTATTACATTATTTTTTTTCTCTTATCTTTTAGTTTTTCACATTTTCTTAATCTCTCCAATCAATCTGTTTTTATTTTTTCCAATCTTTTTAACCAATTTGATGAATACAAAGTTAATTTTGTTTCTTTTTCTTTATCTTTTTTTTAATATTTTACATAAATTTTAGTAATAACTAATATTATTTTATTTATAATTTATATTTATTAGGTTTTATTATGTCATATTTTTTGGATCTTATTATTCTTATTTATCATATATCAAATTTTATCTTAATAACATAATTATATTTTAAAGGATTAAAAAAATTGATAATTTAAATTTTTATTACTTCAAACTAATTAAATAAGAATTAACTTATTAAATATTTCCTTATAAACTATATATTTCATATTTTTAAATGACAACTTAAAAATTAATTAACTTATATATGTAATCAAATGTTTGAATACAATATTATAATAATAATAATATTATAAGTATTCAAATGTTTGAATACGATATAATAATAATATTATTATTATAAGTATTCAAATATTTGAATACAAGTATTATAATAATAATAATATTATAAATATTCTATATCTGTATAAAGAAAAAATAATTACATATTTCTTTTACATACATATTTTAATATAAATATAATAAATTAAAATATATACATTTAATTAATAATAATTATAAAATTATAAAAAATTATTTATGTATAAAAAATACATAAAAATAGTAAAATTAATTTATTATAAGTATAATTATTATTTTTTAAATAATATAGATTGAGGACTGAGGCAGGAGCGAGGAAACCTAAAACCCAATGGAGACAGGGATAAAGACTTAATTTCTAACCCTAACAGGGATCAGGGACGGGGAGGGTTAAAAAAGTTAAGGACAGGGATCAAGGAGGCAAAACCTGCTCTCGCCCCGCCCCATTGCCCTGCTTAGCATGTTGAGTTGAAGTAAAAATTCTACACACAACACCAATAAATGG